AATATGGAGCTGATCTCCAAAGTTGCACTTTGAAGCTTGTATCGGTAGCTAAAGAATAAAGTTTCTAATCTTCTGGTTGGGAGCACGAACAAGCTTGTTGGACTAAGCCCTCTCTGGTGTTTCGAAAGTTGTTATGTGATAGTGATCTGTTAGAAGTTCACGGAGTTTATCATATGACAGAGAAATTGGTTTATCTGGAAATGACAGAGTTTTCAATAAACTGTAGGCATTCAACCCAATCGCAGTAATAAAATGAGCTGAAATTTTGTCATCACGAACATTCTCCGACATACTCCATGTGTCAAAGCATTCAAAATATTCGGCGATTTCCCGCGGCGAACCGTTGATAGGATACTTTTCAAGATTATTTCATTCCATAGCGATGCCAAAATGTAGTAATTATTTGTAATAGTAGTGTTTTGCGATGACTAAATGACAGGATACCAAGAAGCAAAGATAGGGGCGGAATTGACGAATTTGTATTAAGTGATTTATATAATAAATATTAACAAACAACAGTAAGTACTTAAACAATACAGTGATAGAAATTTTCAGTCACCTTTGATACTTTGATTGGATACTAATGAGAAACTAGTGTACTGTGTCTAGTCCTTTGTTTGGTGCAGACTGAATTCTTTCAGTCAAGTTTGCAATGTGGCCAGCATTCAAGGTGACTTACCATAACGGTACACTTCGAATTGTTGATATTAGATGATTGAAGGCAATCGGCAAAATCTGGTTTCAGATTAAACTCAGTAAACACAATAACTGATCCAAAAGGAAGATTATCTAAATGAGTCCCATATTTATCAAGTGGAATCTCTTGTATTGTAAGCATTGCATAATTATTATCATTCCCCTAGGTTCCAAGTGGAACATACGGCTTCAACAGCACATCTCCACGTTGTCCTGTTGTCTGCTGTCCTCTTCATCCGACTCCATGATTACCCATAATCTCTTACCTCCTCCCCACTACACGATCTCCTCCATGTCGCCCAAGGATCACTTACTCATCGACTCATATTTGGACTCCACTCGAGTGATTGCCTGGCGCACCTCCTCAACGTATGCCCAATCCATCCATCCCCATTTTCTCCCACATATTTGTTGAGCAATAGGCTCTTTATTGGTTTTCTCCCACCCAGAGCTTCTTGTTTCTAATTCTTTCTGGCTGGGCATTTCATCTTCAGCATGGAGGCGGCGAAGGCAGCTGTTGATAAAAGTCTGCAGTAGCCCGTTGGAAATGCTTTTCGTCACACACATTGCAAGTTTCTGACTTGTATTGAAGAACTAACTGACTGACTTCACATTTGTGTTCAAAATCCGTATCTTGTTGTTTATACTGGCTGAGTGCAGTGCAGTGCAGAAGATTTCCAAGCTGGTTTCAGGTTGGTGAAGGCGTATGTCGCCTTTCCAATTCTGGCTGGCTACTTTTGACATCTTCATCCGTTCTGACTGCCTGTGGTTGAAACCGTGCTTCTTGGTCAGATAAGTGGAGGAAGTAACTTCTGTCAAATCTCTCCCGTTGGTGGGGATTGGTGATGGTTGTCGTGCTGTTTGGTCATCTTCATACACTCCGTCTTCTCTATGTACAACTGGAGTGCTGTTTTCGCTTCCAGCCTCTTAAGCCAGTTTGTTGATTTTCACCTGCAAGTCTACGAGTTTGTGTGACATTAAACACAAATTATCCACGGGCGAAATTCAGATCTTCTTGAGTCTTCTTATCAGTGGTTCAACGTACTCCTGTCTTCTCAGTCTAAGTACGCAGTTTGATGCATAATCCAGTCCACCAGAATTAAGAATATAATCGTTGATAATAGGCAGCCAGCCTCGTCTTACTCTTGTATTCACTTCAAACACTTCGCTGAGTTTGACTTTATGGATCACTTGACACGTGACATGATCATATAGCAGCTGTTGAATGAGGTTGATAAAGACTTGAGGTACGCCATTTTGTTGAAGTAGCTTCCAAAGTACTTCTCGGTCTACGCTGTTTATCGAAGGCACTTTGAAAGTCGATGAAGTTGAGATAGAGGTTTGACTGCCATTCTGTGCTTTGTTCTGTGATGATGATGCGTAGAGTTGCAATTTGATCAGCACATGATTTGCCCTTTCTGAATCCAGCTTGTTTGGGTAGAGTTCTGTATCCAGTGCATCTTTTATTCTCTCCAGGATGCTGCGACGTAGTATTTTACTTGGCGTGGACAGCATCATGATTCCACGCTAATTCTTGCAGAGGCGTAAGTCACCCTTCTTTGGTAGTTTGATATGGTAGCGTTTCTTCCAATCATTAGGTGCTCTTCCTTCCATCCAAACCTCTTTCAATAATGCCGTGAACACATCTGCTGCAGCCTCTGTGTCCATTTTCAGTGCTTCGGGGGTATTCTATCTGGCCCTGCTGCCTTCCTGACCGGACTTCAGTAGCTAGATCGCATTCAAGATTTCTGCTTTAGTTGGAGGACTGGTGTCCGTTGGCAGGCAGTCCTGTGCGTGCTGTTTGTGGTCGGGGTATTTGTGGGCTAGTTGCAGGTGATGGTCAACTCAACAGTCCTCTAAAATGATCAATTCATTGTTTTACTTGTTCTTCCTCCCTGGTTAATAGGTTCCCTTGAACATCTTTTATTGATTTCATCACTTGAGTTGATATTTTCCCGGATAGAGACCTCCTCATCTGATATAATGTTACCAGGTCTCTTTTACCTGCGGCCTGTCTGTTCTCCTTCAGTTGCCAGTGTGTCGTAGAATTGTCTTTTGTCGTTCCTAGCACTCTTCACTTCTTCCTTCACTGCAGTGTACGTTGAACTCGGCTTCTCCTTCTGTTCTCTTGTCCATCTTTCATTGAGTCATCTTCTCTTTCACCATCCTCCTGTCCCCTTTTGTATGAGCTTCCAGGTGGTGTCTATTGACAGCCATTCCTTGCTGCGTCTCTTCTTTCTTCTTAGAGCAGTTGTACACGTTTCCTTGAACATTACTTTCAGGCAGTTACAGTGTTCTTCCATCCAAGTTTCCTCAGTGATACCACGCAGTGTCTCCAATTTCGCTCTGATCTGATATGTAGTGAAAGCATCCCTTGTAGTCTTCTCCTTGAACTTACAGTGGCCTGTCTCCAGTTGCTTTCAGGGTTTTTAGCTTCACCTTGAAGGTTCCTTGAACTAGATGATGGTCAGAGCACAAATCTGCTACCCTTTTCGACTTTGTAACCAGCAGGCTGCGTCTCCACTTCCTTGAGCAGCATAGCGATGAAGTCTATCTGGTTTGCAGTGTGTCCATCAGACGAAATTCATGTTACTTTGTGTATATCCTCGTGCTTGTACACGTTGCCTCTGATCGCCAAATAATTGAAGGTGTAGAAGTCTGCGAAGAGTTCTCCGTTCTCATTCATTTAGCCGAGCGAGAGCCTCTCGACTAATGATAAGTTCTCTTCCTGTAATACCTGCTCCCACATAGCTGGTATTCACATCTCCCATAAGAAATTTGATGTCTCCATTTGGGACGCTCTCTATTACTGTTTTTAGTTTTCTGTAAAAATCTTCCCTCTTCGCTTGTTCCGCGTTGTTTGTAGCATTGTGCTTATCATTGGATATTGTAACCTTCCTTCTGAGTTGAATCTTGCCGTTATTATCTTGAGGGATGAAATTGATTCCTACTGCATTGGGGCTTTGGCTGCCACTGGTTACATCATGATAGCCATTCACTACCTCAGTGTCCTCGTGGTTGTCATCTGGGCGACCAGATGAGAGTAGATTACTGACTCTCCAGTTGACAACTTTGACAGTGCACAGCCATTCCATATGTTCTCACAGATTCCCAGCACTTCTATACCATATCTTCTCATTTCTGCGGCCACCTAGGCAGCCTTCCCAGCCGAATTCGTACACTGTACGGATATTCCACGTCCCCATTCTTACTCTTGCTTTCACCGAGAGAAGACATATCGGCTGGCTGGCTGACTGGCTTCCCGAAGGCTTTCACCAACCCGCGTCACTTTGCCTCTACGATTCCAGCAAAGAATAGGTTTGTTTTCTACACTTTTTGTATTTCTGATATTTTTCCTCTGCTTTGAAGTTTCTTTAACAGGTTGATTAGTTTTGTGGGGTAGGGTTGTTAGCCCCACACCCAACCCTCCATCTTTACTCGGCCTTGAGACCGGCTAGGAAACTATCAAGCTAGTAAACTAGGCGAGGTTAGTGTAAGTATTTTGGGCGAAATAAATACTTATCAATTTTGTCTTCCCCTTTGATTGGTTGGACCAAAGTGTTCGGCCTCCGTTTACATGTAGGCTTCTCATATAGACACTTTGACTATATCCAGTAAATCAGTGAGAAAAAACGAAATTGATTTAAACAAATAATAAGTGATACCCCTTACAGAAGAGGTAGCTCTTGTGGTCCGAGTCGTTTAGCGAATAATGCTTTGGTGTTCGGTGTGATGGGTGCAGTGGTCGAGTCTAGGTGGGAAAACCATCGCTCACTAGGGACTGCAGGTTTTTCCAGGCGATAAGTCCCAAATAGGACAAAATGAGTATTGTGGATTCCACTGTTAGTCACCATCCACCAAATAAATAGACCAGGTTATCCCTCCAAAACTTTAAACACACAATTGAATAACAAAGATTTTGGATAAGAAATACTGATAAGCTGAGATTAACATAGCATCACTTCTATTTATTGAACTGCTATTAGTTTATTAATCAGACCACGTTTTTACCCTAAACAGATAAATGAAGGCCCTATGTATAATCGTTCTCTCAGACCTCTAAAATAAACTAACAAAACTGAGCTAGTGAATATCGCTGATAACTAATTTTATGATTTTGTTATAAAAAGCTTAACTATAAGTCTTCAGTGTATGCGTTAAAGAAATGATGTAGAAATTAATCAATATTATTAAATTATCGATCCTAAAATCTATGTGAGACTAAATAATCAGTTAATTTGAATTAATTAATCCAAGAGGCGAAATAGTCATTATTTACTGATAACATCTAGGCTTCGGACGAGATGGACACTGACTACTTACAAGATTGTAATAATCACAATGCTGAACCAGAAGATGAGGAAGAGGAAGACGAAGAATCATTGTTAGATGATCCAAGAGAAGCAAGAAACAGAGCTAATCGAAGGCAACAACGTTCCCCTCGTGCAAGACCTTATCCAAGAAATCGAAGACCTAATCGGCGATCACGATCTCGTCAACCACAACAACGACAAGCCTACAGACAAAGAAGTCGTTCAGCCAGACGTTCACCAAGACAACAGCCTTATAGAAGAAGAGATCAACAAAGATCACGTTCAAGACCAAATTATCGTCGATACATGCGGCAACAGGAAAGTAATAACAACAGTAACAATTATCAAATGTTAAATAAAACAAAAAGAATACCAGAATCAAATTCGTCACAAAATTATCGTCGAAGAAATGTATCATTTTCATAAAATAACGATTTCAACGTATAATCTCCTCAAAAAGAAGATATCTTTACCTTGAATTTTCATATACACACGGACAAATGTATATACACTTATGTATATGTATATATATTGCATAATGCAATTTTTCAAGCTAATTTGACATTTTGCAAACGCAGAGGAAGATTTTTAGGTTTTAATAATATATATGCATAATATCATACTTCTACGTACTAGTGATAAAATAAGAATTCTCCCACTTTGTTTTAGTTAAACGTGAAATGCACTGATGTATCAATATGCTATCCTTATAATTAATATTGACATTGTCATTAAAAAGGTAAATAAATATGTATGTATACATATATAAATGTATTTACATATAATAAAAGTAATTCCATTTCCTTGTTTTGTTATTTTTTATTGGTATTCGAAATGTGATGTGTAGATAAGGCATTTCGCATGTTAATTATAAAAGGAATAAAAAAACGATAAGATAGAGGTGTTATCGAATTGTTATATGTTCATAGTCTATGGTTGTAATATTAATTAATTAACTTTATATCATAGAATCAGATTGAGTAGATACGGTGTCCAGGTATAGAGTGCTCTCCAGCCAACAACTAAGGCAAGGTCTGATTCCCGTCCTTCGCGTTTTTTTATACCACGCTTAGTTAACTAGCCAGCCGTAAACCAAGAGGAAAGGGAAGACTAAACGTGTGGTTAGCACTTCATCTCGTAAAAGAAGAGATTCAAGCTCTACTGAGACATAGAAACTTGAAGACCTATGAACTACTCTGAACTCGGAGAAGTAAAAAAAGATAATGAAGTCGTATTCATTTTAAAACTACCAATAGAATTTGATTGTTATTATTTGAAATCTAGTATTTCAACCCAAAATAATCAGAATAATCCTAGAACAAGTTTTTAGCTAAGGGATATACAGATAGATATTACCGTCATGGATTGTGCTGAAATGCTTCGTATTTCTTTTTCCTGTCACAGATTATCTGAACGTCAGGCTATAATGAATGAAAGGGATACATTTTTTTTTCCTTCACGTTCCCCAGTGGAACATAGGGCTTCAAACTAGTGGCTTGAAGTTTCTGTAGCAGTGTTTATTTTACAGGATGGGGTTACTAGCCTCATGCCCAACCTTTCCTCTTTACCAGTATTATTTCTGGCTCAGCGAGTGCGTCGGACGGGGATCGAAACCCGGACCATGTGCATAGTCGGCGAGGGATAAATACTTACAATCAAATGTTCCGGTTAGTAAAAATAACATCGTTAGGGATATTATGAGGTACTGCCGTTACTCAAGAGTTAAGATCACACTGTAAATAATTACTTAGAAATTGTTGATGTTAGGTGGTTGGAGGTAATCGGCAGGAAGCCTTAGGTCTAGGTTTCATGCTAGTCGGCACTCATAACATTCATAGCATTATACTAAATAAAAGGAATTTTGACAAATACATGTTCAAATCGTTGGTATTAGAGGGTTGGAGGTAAATACCTATTCAAATCACTTTGTATTTTATAATACATCTGATGAACTATTAGGAGGAAAACTGATAAGAAGCTATGGGATCGGTCAACTTCACACATTGAAAATAATAATAACAATATTCATATTTAATTGTTTTTGGACAGAATTTGAAATATTTAGTGATAATATACCCTATTCAACACAAACCGTAGTAATTTACGACGTTGTATTCTTTGCTGTTATGTATTTAGTAATTTGATACTTGAGTTCATTGTTGTTTCAAACAGTTACGTCGTACAAAATGAACTGAATATATAGTTGTACAGTCATTTGTTTAATTTTATTTCATGACTGAAGATTATACGGTCTAAGTTTTGCTAAATTCTTATCACGAGGATACTATAAAAAGATCTATACATACGTGAATAAACTTAAACTTCTGTGTATTTTCGCAATAGAGAATCCACATTAATAACAAAGTTTGTATCGAAGAAAACACTACAAAATAATAAAATAGATGGTATTTATATGAATAACAAAGTGAATGTATAAAACTGGGGAAATAAGTAATTTATATCTGCGTGTAACCCTACAGAATTAATGCTTTTATGCCATCGAGAATAGAAAATATTTGAACATAAATAGAACCAGAAGTATGGTTACTGAACACTGAATATTCTTTTTGACAACTCCTTCATCATCAGGCTCTACAGTTATATATACATTATAGTGAATGAATGAATTAGTGTTATTACCAACATTAATGTTGTTTAAATAATATCGAATCAATAATAATATCAGTGGATTACAGTTCAATAGCATCAACTTAAACATACACTGAATGTCAGTCGTTTGAAGAAACCAAGAAAAGAACAGATATTTCCCGAGAGTTTATATGAAGAAATCAGGCCAACGGGCACGTACAAGCCAAGAATGTATTGCCTACCTATAGTACATAAACCGGAAGTACCAATGAAACCAATACTTGATATGCTAAATTCGCCCTACCATGCTCTAGCTAGATAGTTAGTAAATATCCTCAAACCTTTGCATGAGCAGATAGTGAAGCAGCGACAAAGATATATTTGAATTCGTACACAAAATCAACGATATTAATATCAAGGATAAAACTATGATGTCTTCGGATATAACATCTTTATGCACACATCTACCTGTAGTAGAAACGATTAACTATATACGTGAACAAATGTATCACTAGTTGATAAATACTGTCATCCCAACGGAAATCCCCAACAAAATTGTTACTAAGGTGTACCATGAATGTAAATTTCAAATTTGATGGCACAATTTACGGACAAGTGGACAGGGTGGCAATGAGCTCACCATTGGGTTCTATTTTGGCAGATTTCTTTCTAAGTAAATTAGAAAATGGACTTTTCAAAAACCTTATCAGAAAATTCTCATTTTTTGCCGGTATATAGATGACGCCTTTATTCCTTGTTATAATGATTCGGACAGGAACAAAATTATAATTCAACTGAATGAAGTACATTCTGCTATGAAATTCACGTGCAAATAGGAATCCCAGAATAGAAATGATTTCCTAGATGTCCTCCTCACAGGAAAACCAGATGGTACTATGAGGAGAAATTTGCGTAGGAAAAGCACATGTACAGGATAACATTCACATTTCAATTGCTTCGTTCTTCGCCAGTATAAAAGAGCTATTTGCTCAGAAGAGGTAAATGAAGATGAACTAAGGATTGCATATGATAACTTGATTAAAAATAGCTATCCCGACAAATTTATCAGGATTTTAATATAAATTACATTCTAAAGTCTATCATATCCTTGAATCCAAGCGAAACCCTAGGTCCTGATGATTTGCTAAGCATTATTTTCACACATTTTTTTCGAATATTTTGTGTAATTTTAACGTGTTATTTTGCACAAACACATAACCTGACAATTGGAGGAAAATTAAAACTGTATCCATATGTAAATCTTTATCTCTTAGACCCAGTTCAAATTTTGTACCTATCACCATTATCTTTGAAGTTGAGCGTCCTACTCGTTAAATGTACCATACCTCAAGGTGCCTTATTTTCTTCATTTCTAGCTTTCTAGTAGTTTTATCGTCAGGCTGCTCCAACCAAAATTTCTCAATTTTCTTAATCCCATGGTTCTAAACTCAATCACCTTAATTGTTAAACCGTGACTTTTGTTTCCAAGTGTCAGTAAAACTTCTGTGGATTGCTTCACTTCCATGAATTTTGTAAAACCAATGATACTTTAGCAAAAGATTATTCAATATCGCCTACATTCGTATTATCTTTTCTTCTGATTTCTGTTATTTATCTCATGCATTACCAGCTTCCCAAACATAATTCGCTTGACCAATTACGTATGGAAGCTGAAACTGTCTGGTAGAACTCTTCCTCTTCTTTGTAATTTATTAATTCGTGTATTCTACTCATCTTTATCATGTTTCCGGTTTTAACTTCCCACGATTTTTAAGAAGAGACTGTATTGTATATTCCGTAACATTTCCGATACTGTAATCATGATAATTGGTGTGCTCTAATAACACATACTGTGAATAACAGATATCTGAATTGTTTCAAATAGTTGGTTAAAGTTATCTTGATATTATTTATATGTTCATTCATTTGCGTTCCAAGTGGAACATAGGGCTTTCAGCTTGAACTTTAGAGTTCCAATAGGGATTGTGTCAGTTTTACAGGGTGGAGTTGCTAACCTCACCTCTTCTTCGGGCTTACTATCGACTAGGTCAGATATAAGAATGAGTAGGCCGGGAATCGAACGCTAACCACTTGCATGGATAGCGACCATTCCACCACGAACTACCAACACTTAAGGGTATCTTGAACATCCTCTTTATTTGCAACTTTCTCCATGGATTATTTCATGAAAAGTTGAATGCATTTCCATTTAAAACGTTATATTCGTACACCAAAACACAAAACCACAACTATAGTGTTAGCATGCATACTGTATACTTTGATTGGACACAAGTAACTATTGCGATATGTCTAGTCCTTTTTTTGGTGCAGACTGAATTCTGTCAGTCAGGTTTATAATTTGGCTACCATCCTAAGTAGCTCGTCATCACGGTGCACATTAATTTGATGATATTAGATGGTTGGAGGCAATTGGAAGGAAGCCTTTGACCTAGGTTTCGTGCTAGTTGGCACTCGTCAGTAAGGCGTATCTGCACTGGGTGACGTGAGTTCGAATCTCAGGAGAGATATGAGTTCCTTCAAGGTTGTAGATACGCTTTGCTGACTGGTGAGTGCCAACTAGCAGGAAACCTAGGTCCAAGGCTTCCTGCCGATCGCCTCCAACCATTTAATGCATACTGTGTTGAAACAAGTGCTATACCTAAGTGTATTCATCCAGCTAAATTTTCTTATCTAGATTATTTTTACTAAAATAAATTCATTCATTGAATTATTCAGTATTTAGTCTAAACAGTAAATTTAATGTAATGTAACAGCAACAATAACAACAGACAACAATCAGCATAACTGGGAGGAAACTGAAAGAAACAACCACTTTT